GGCGTCGTCTAATTCGACAAACCATCTCAAGAGGGAGTCTTCTTCGACCCCCCTATACTTAGAGATGTCAATCTTCAAAGTCTCGGGTCGACGCGAGTGCATCGACCCACCAGCAGCAGCCTGCTGCTGTCTCAACAGTTCAAACTGTTGAGCACCCTGTTCTCTCAACAACTCTGCTTGTTGAGAACCTTGTTGGTGAAGCAAGGCTACTTTCTCGCGTTCTGCGTCAAGTTCATTTTGAATGAACTTGGCGATAGTAGCATGTTGGGCATCTCTATTGAGAGCCTCTAGCATAACACTAACAGCATGGATGCCCATGGTTGAACCCATTCGTTCAACCGCGTCCCATTCGACATCGCTCAAATGGGAGTAGCCGTCACGCGTAGCGTGAAAGCTTCGGTCATCTTCATCATCCAACATGTTCGTGTTAGATGTGAACGTGGTCCTTGGACGGACTACGAAGTGCTACCAGGTGTAACGAGGCACCCTGAAGCTTGTACTGGTGACAGTACAAGCTACTTATTCTGATGACAGAATAAGGCGGTGCATCGGAACTTCACGTACACTCGTACGTGCAGAGGAAGACGGTAAGAAGAAGCGAGTACCTGGTTAAAGTAAAAAGTAGAACTGTATTTATGATAGTTAATGTCTGCTATAAATCACTATGTATCTTCATCTGACTATGTCTAAATACAAATGTGTATATCAGCTATCTGCTCACCACTCATTGCGTGCGTCTGTCGTGGCGCGTCTTCGTTGGTTGATATAATGGCCTATATCAACCAGTTAGGAACTGCTCGTAAGTGCTGCAGAATATTTGTCCTTATGACAATATTCTGAGAACATTACTCTCATAGTTACATTCTATTAACAATTTCTTATAAATTGTTATGTAACGATTCACCCGTTACAATATGCACATATGGTGGAGATACCGCGACGACCGTGTCCTCCAGGTTCGATTCGAAGAAATTAAGCATTACAACGCGTGTGGCTCTCGGAATGGTGCACACCAGAAAACCGGGCGGAGAAGATAGAACCATGCCTCCCATAAATTAAGCTGCCAACGCCTCCTTCTCCAGCGGGATCATCGGTCTTAGGTCGTCGTCTGCGTGCTCCTTCCACACACGAGTAGGCGCCCGCTCTAGTACGCGGTTAAGTTGGGTGAAGAAAGACGGACCCACGGATGGGGGTCCGTCTTTCTTCAGTGTGCGGCCACCTGGGACATTTCTGATTGGATGTCCAATCAGAGATGTCCCAGATGGCCGCACACTCCACGGGTCTTTCGACTGAAGGGTGGTTTGACCCCATTCCCAACAAGAAATCGTGGCCCTTGCGTCAGACTACGGCGAAACAAGGGCAGGTATCAGTACACCCATCACGTCCGTCGCGCCGAACTAAGTCCCCAACTGCTCAAAGAAACGCAAAATCGAGTCCTGAAGAAATGATCTCTTCTGTACACCCGAAGGAATAGACTCCGGGACGAGACAGCAAAAAAATCTTCTCTAAAGATAAGATGCTAACATAAGGAAACTCTCCTACGCCTGTAGCGTCGGTAAACCCCACAGACTCTTCGAAAGCGGCCCAGCGATGTGTGCAGGCTCTCCTTGAGCTAGACCAGATCCTTCAAGGTGACAACTCTGCTGCACGGGCAGACAACAAGGCATATAGAGGTGATGGTAGCTCTGAAAAATCTGTATCTCCTTTCGCGATTGCTCTGGCTCAAGCTCGCACAGGGGTGGACGATGCTCAACGTACGGTGGATACACTCACCAAAAAGGCTGCGGGGGAGCAGACATTAGCCGATACAAAGAAAGCTTGCTTCTTTGAGGCTCATGCTCGCGCGGTAGAAGTGGCTATCGCTTGAGAGAATACGGAGACCGACGGGGCTTCCTCTTTCGATGAAGAGGCTGGGGCTTTGACTTTTTTTAAGTATGAATACCATACCGCCAATACGGCGGCTACAGTCACGAAGCGAACCTAACGAGTGCCACGACCAAATTAAAGACGAAGGTACGAAGCTTGGCAAAGATCTCTACCGACAAACAACATGCGCGCGAGACGCAAGACCAGCAAACGAACCAAACTCCGACCGACGTCCCGAATGCTACAGCCCAAAAAATTAGGGAACGCAGCCGCTCCACTATACAGGTACGAGTGTACGTGAAGTTCCGATGCACCGCCTTATTCTGTCATTAGAATAAGTAGCTTGTACTGTCACCAGTACAAGCTTCAGGGTGCCTCGTTACACCTGGTAGCACTTCGTAGTCCGTCCAAGGACCACGTTCACATCTAACACAAACATGTTGGATGATGAAGATGACCGAAGCTTGAGCCCCAATGCCCAAGTCTTGGCACGTCCTGCCAGATTTGACTGGGCAAATGCAACTTGCATATCCCCATCGTCGATGCGACGCGCCCTTATGGCGTCGTCTAATTCGACAAACCATCTCAAGAGGGAGTCTTCTTCGACCCCCCTATACTTAGAGATGTCAATCTTCAAAGTCTCGGGTCGACGCGAGTGCATCGACCCACCAGCAGCAGCCTGCTGCTGTCTCAACAGTTCAAACTGTTGAGCACCCTGTTCTCTCAACAACTCTGCTTGTTGAGAACCTTGTTGGTGAAGCAAGGTTACTTTCTCGCGTTCTGCGTCAAGTTCATTTTGAATGAACTTGGCGATAGTAGCATGTTGGGCATCTCTATTGAGAGCCTCTAGCATGACGCTAACAGCATGGATGCCCATGGTTGAACCCATTCGTTCAACCGCATCCCATTCGACATCGCTCAAATGGGAGTAGCCGTCACGCGTAGCGTGAAAGCTGTGGTCATCTTCATCATCTAACATGTTCGTGTTAGATGTGAACGTGGTCCTTGGACGGACTACGAAGTGCTACCAGGTGTAACGAGGCACCCTGAAGCTTGTACTGGTGACAGTACAAGCTACTTATTCTGATGACAGAATAAGGCGGTGCATCGGAACTTCACGTACACTCGTACGTGCAGAGGAAGACGGTAAGAAGAAGCGAGTACCTGGTTAAAGTAAAAAGTAGAACTGTATTTATGATAGTTAATGTCTGCTATAAATCACTATGTATCTTCATCTGACTATGTCTAAATACAAATGTGTATATCAGCTATCTGCTCACCACTCATTGCGTGCGTCTGTCGTGGCGCGTCTTCGTTGGTTGATATAATGGCCTATATCAACCAGTTAGGAACTGCTCGTAAGTGCTGCATAAATATTTGTCCTTATGACAATATTCTGAGAACATTACTCTCATAGTTACATTCTATTAACAATTTCTTATAAATTGTTATGTAACGATTCACCCGTTACAATATGCACATATGGTGGAGATACCGCGACGACCGTGTCCTCCAGGTTCGATTCGAAGAAATTAAGCATTACAACGCGTGTGGCTCTCGGAATGGTGCACACCAGAAAACCGGGCGGAGAAGATAGAACCATGCCTCCCATAAATTAAGCTGCCAACGCCTCCTTCTCCAGCGGGATCATCGGTCTTAGGTCGTCGTCTGCGTGCTCCTTCCACACACGAGTAGACGCCCGCTCTAGTACGCGGTTAAGTTGGGTGAAGAAAGACGGACCCACGGATGGGGGTCCGTCTTTCTTCAGTGTGCGGCCACCTGGGACATTTCTGATTGGATGTCCAATCAGAGATGTCCCAGATGGCCGCACACTCCACGGGTCTTTCGACTGAAGGGTGGTTTGACCCCATTCCCAACAAGAAATCGTGGCCCTTGCGTCAGACTACGGCGAAACAAGGGCAGGTATCAGTACACCCATCACGTCCGTCGCGCCGAACTAAGTCCCCAACTGCTCAAAGAAACGCAAAATCGAGTCCTGAAGAAATGATCTCTTCTGTACACCCGAAGGAATAGACTCCGGGACGAGACAGCAAAAAAATCTTCTCTAAAGATAAGATGCTAACATAAGGAAACTCTCCTACGCCTGTAGCGTCGGTAAACCCCACAGACTCTTCGAAAGCGGCCCAGCGATGTGTGCAGGCTCTCCTTGAGCTAGACCAGATCCTTCAAGGTGACAACTCTGCTGCACGGGCAGACAACAAGGCATATAGAGGTGATGGTAGCTCTGAAAAATCTGTATCTCCTTTCGCGATTGCTCTGGCTCAAGCTCGCACAGGGGTGGACGATGCTCAACGTACGGTGGATACACTCACCAAAAAGGCTGCGGGGGAGCAGACATTAGCCGATACAAAGAAAGCTTGCTTCTTTGAGGCTCATGCTCGCGCGGTAGAAGTGGCTATCGCTTGAGAGAATACGGAGACCGACGGGGCTTCCTCTTTCGATGAAGAGGCTGGGGCTTTGACTTTTTTTAAGTATGAATACCATACCGCCAATACGGCGGCTACAGTCACGAAGCGAACCTAACGAGTGCCACGACCAAATTAAAGACGAAGGTACGAAGCTTGGCAAAGATCTCTACCGACAAACAACATGCGCGCGAGACGCAAGACCAGCAAACGAACCAAACTCCGACCGACGTCCCGAATGCTACAGCCCAAAAAATTAGGGAACGCAGCCGCTCCACTATACAGCGCCTACTGACTTCCTGCGTCCGTCGGAAACAGGAATGCGCTTCTGTCAGTCCCGGGCAAGCCTCTGATACGCCCCCCCCTGTAGACGCATCCCTACGTCCGTCGCCATTAGACATGCCGCCGACGCTTGACCACAGTTCAGATTCATCGGGTACGTAAAATTTTGATATCACGATGGTGAAAAGTCATGTCACCTTTGGTCACACCATGAGTCTTTATGATCTCGGTGGTGGTGATGTAACGCCGCCAACATGCGCCGCCAGTGTTCCCTTACCAGCTGAATTGACTAAATAGGCTATTGAGGACGAGATCCAACTCTTTTCAAGTATCACAGGCGGCGTAAATATGTGTACTCCTGACTCAGTTTCGCTTCCATCCGAATTCTCTGATGCTCCAATTGTGTCATGGTCCGTCCCGTCGCCGATGGAAAACAAGCGCACCCCTGAAACACACGCACAGTCATTACGTGCTACCAGATTTCGCAAGGTTACGAAAGCTGCGTCGGCGGCGTTAGCCGCTGCAGCGGTGCCGGAGCATACAAAACAAGTTATTGAGAACACGGCAGCGATTCGCCAGTGGGTAAGCTCGCGCAAGAAGAAGGTGCCACTTCCCGATTTTATGCCTATTGACCCGAATGGACAGCTAGCCTGGATTACTTCCTATGTATCGGAGCTCGAGGCGCTTCTCAGTGTATTGCCATTTCCGGTACCTTTTCTTGCTTCCATGACCGGGGAATCCCTCAAGTATTTGGTCACTCGATTAATATCAAATCCCAGCTTGTGTTTATTCGCCAACATGCCAGCCACACAAATGACCGTCTTCGTGAACTGTGCACTGGTTGGACAGCAACAACTGAAGGTCAAAGGGGGCAGATTAGATGGAAAACCACAGATTCCGTTCAACGATGGCGTCGGGCCAGCAAGTTACATCCGGGGATATTATGCGCAACGGTCGTCGAGCCTCTATCGGACTTGGATCGCTGCGCCGTGCTGAATGTTCTGTGTGTTTTCCTTCCAACGCTCGCGCCCGAAGAGGCCAAGATAAATGTGATAATGCCGCAGACCAAGGCAGCGCTCTATCAAAATTTCGACGGCGTGCGTGCAGCTTTAAGCGGAGTTCTTAGCAAACCTGCCGATCGGAATCTATTTCTCGCTCTAATTGATCGCGATGACGGTCCATCGGAACCTCGATACTAAGGGCACCGCGGTTGTTACCTCAACAGGATTGGCACAGAACGCGGTTAAGCCTTCCTTGTCCGGTACCTCTGCAAGACGCCCTCCCTTGAGCCACCATTATGATACACCCCGGCGTCGCAATCAGCACGTTCTGCAGGCTGCCCTTCGGCCACCTAAAAACAGCATAGGTCTACACTCGCAAAGCGTGGCAGGATTTCCTAAACATCCAGAGCGCTTGATGAATGGTTTGACACTTTCGACAGCGCGAGGAACGGAGGGCACTTGACTTATTTCTCTTCAGGAAACTCGAGTTACTCCAGGAAAGGCAGCGACTATGGACATGTTGTTCCACCAAACGTGGGGCTTTATGCAAAAATCCGGACGCACTATGTGGACGGAATATGAAGAAGCCCGTGGGCTTGTGGCATCCTACTTAACCCATATTCGTCGATTACGGAGACGGAACCTTAGCACGAGGACCTCTGAACGAAGCATTGGATGGGGGTTCAAATTAATCATATGGGTGAATCGATCCTCGTCGTCTACGTGTATGCGCCGACTCATAAGCATTACCGAGAGGCCTTTGTTGAGATGCTTCGTCACCAGGTTTCGGGACACAGCGGTCCGCTATTGTTGGGAAGAGACTTTAACTGCACGTTAGACCCACGTCCCGACCGGTCGTTCGTCTCATCTGCCGACAAACATGATTCTCTAGCATTGCGTAGGCTTCTTGCACGAGCGCAGATGAGAGATGTACTCGAAGATGAGTTGGAGCGTGCGGAGGAAGAGCGGGCGCTTTCAGCCTTTCATGCGGCGGCGCACACTTACTTCTACACGCTCCTCGGAGGAGTATAGCCAGTCCTCGCCTGGATCGTTGGTATGTAAGTGCGCTGCATGCAGACTGGATTCGTGACGTAGACCTATCAGTCCCCGGACCAGCCGCTGATCACAATGGAATAACTATTCGGATTGGTGCTCCTCACCAAGTTGTACGCGTTCGTAAAACGCGGCGGGTATATCCTGTGCCGGGTTTTGCAAAAGCTGGTGCCAACCTTGCGATTCTTGCTGCCCTCGAAATGGCACGAAGCGCGGTCGAATAGGCGAATTCACTACCGCTGGCGGACGTTGCTACTTCTCACAGGCTTGCAGATTGGTGGGACGGGTGGAAGACGCAATTGAGAAAAGATCTTCTGGCCTATGCCTGAATTTTCCGCCAGGGGTTGACAAAAAGTTACCCACAGCGCCTGCGCCGGTTGTATGTCTGTCTAGACGCAGCGCTATTACAAGCGCGTGCTGCACCTTCTAAATCGTCAATAGACCATGAGAACTGTGAGCAGGCTGTTGCAGTTGATTCTCCGGAGGAGCTTCGTCAAAAAGTTTTGGAGTGTCGCAGGTTATGGCAGAGAACCAAAAAAGAGTGGCTTCTCACACAGCACACGTACTGTTCGGGCGAGTCATCACGCAGATCTTTCGCCCGAGCATCGACCTAATTACAAGACAATACGATAATTGCCTGGGCGGAGGTGCGTCTTACGGTCCCAATCGGTCACAGGAACTGGCTGAGGAGATGGCGGACGGGTGGTCTCCAATAGTGCTTCGTTCATTATAGTGTTCCGATGAAACCACCGCATTTCTTGGGCAGGCCTCCCAGCCTGATCGAATTGCAGATTCCACTGTCATGGACGTCATATCTTTGGAAGATGGAAGTGTGGCCTTGAAGAGGCTCAAGCGCGGGAAGGCTTCGGGGCCGGATGAAATTAACAACACCTTTTATCGCGAATACTCCGACCAATTGGCTCCAATCTTTGCGACTATTTATAAAAAGTGACTTAACTGCAGCGTATTTCCGTCGTCGCTTGAAAAGGCACACATACATTGCTTTAAAAAAAAGCAGCTTCAGCTTTGCCGCTTGATCATCGCCCTATCGCGCTTCTCAACAGCGACTACAGATTATTACCAAGATCATTTGTTTCGACTTCGGCCTTTGCTCTCGCAGACTGTGCTACCGGCACAAATTAAATTTGTTCCAAAGCGATCGATCCGTATGGCTCTTGAAATTTTTGCTGCTGTATGTAAAGCAGCGGGTTAGAACGCTGGTCTCCATGGAACTATCGTTCTTCTTTTTGATTTCGCTAAAGCTTACGATACGTACAGCGACCTCTTTTGTTAACGGTGCTCGCATGGCTTGGGTTTTCGCCACAATTCGTCTCGGTTTTAGCTGCGTTACATCGCAATACGACTTGCCGATTCATCGTAAATGGATACCGATCCAGTAGCCGATCTGTTCGCTGTGGTATCAGACAAGGGTGCCCTCTTTCCCCAGTTCTGTTTATTCTGGCCCTTGATAGTGCCTATCGAGTGATACAGGAAAGGGAGGATGTGCGCAGAGTACCACTTTTGTCTCATGGACGGACTGTGGAGTTTAAAGTATCGGGCTATGCAGAAGACACGGCTGTCTACCTACGCGATCGGGCAGCGGTGAAGTAGGTTGTCGACATTCTAGAGGACTTTGGTAGAGTCTCGGGACTTCTTACGGATCAAGCTAAGTCTATAGTCATTACTCTCGACCATCGCGGCGCAAACCTGCCACTGGACACCCAAGGTCTCACTTTGCTTGCTCCTAGTGATTCTTGTCGATACCTTGGTGTGCTGGTGGGACAACGTGACCACGTGGCCGAGAAACAAAATAGGTGTATTCGATCATTATGGTGTCGGCTCGTCCTAGCCCGCGAGAAATTTCATACTGTCCAGCAGCGAGCCCGTTTTTCGAGCGCCATAGCGGTGCCCCAAAAAATATTCCTAGCGCGTCACTGCTGGCCTCATATCGCCATGGCCACCCGATTGCATGACTTAATCTTGGACTTTGTATGGGGATCACGTAATGGTAAAAGGTCCAGACCGTGGGTACCAGCAGCGATGGCTGCGCTTACTACCCCACAGGGTGGCCTAGCGGTTCCATGTATTCGAACGGAACTTTTAACATTGGCAGGGACAGCGGTTGGACAGTGGGCGGCTACTGCTTCCACGAGAGAGTTTCTTATCGGTGACGTCCTCTGGGGTTCTATTTGATTAAGGCTGGCGTACATCACGCCTTGTTAGACTGAAGAAAAACATTCACGTGGACGACCGTCGCTCTGGTTGACAGGATCTGAGATTGTTGGCATATCGGCGGCTCGGCATGCCCGCCAAGGCGAGTCAAAGAAAATTTGTCGACGCGCCTTGGTTTTCACGTCAAGAGCTGAGATAATCTATAATGACGATGGAAGTGTCACAATTGATGCTCGAAGGGCTCTTGATGACCACTTGCGGAAAGGGGTACAGGCCAAATATGCGGCGTCAAGTCGATTCGATACACGATGGCTCGTACATGCTACGATGAGAGATATGTCGTGGCTACGTGACCGCTGTGGCAAACCGTAAAATTATACGGTGCTAATTTTGCGCGGGATCAGAAAACTCTTATCAATAGCTTGTCTTGATTAACGGTGCAGCGTGAAATGACGAGGTTTTTATTCAGACGAGACATGGCAACTCAATCGATAGCGAAGCGACGACACTTCGGGTCCTTTCAGCCTCGCCCTCCTTTAGAATTTTCCATAATTTATGTATGGAGCTATTGAACCCGGCTCCTTACTCGCTTACTCTGCAAAGGTTCACAATTATTATGAATGGCTACTTGAGCGCCAAGGTACATCGTTATCTCATTTCGACACGGGCATGTCGTGCGGGTTGACTCCTGTCACATCTATGGTGGAGTGTGATACAGCGGCTACCTTGACTTGTGGTTCTCCTGTGCACTTTGGTACTTATTGTAGGCAAGATGCGTGTTGCGAGAAGGAAGCGTTAGGTGAACAATAAGATTCTGTTGTATTTCCTTACTAGTTCTCTCTTCTCTGCCATGATCGCCAAAGCCCTCTGCTCCATTCATCCATCTCACACGCATTCTGGCTCTACTCGGGTCACTATCCTGCTTGTCACTCTGCGTCCACCATTTACGCACAGCGAGTTTGTGACATCAGGTTTCCAAATAAACCCCAAGTCACCGGCCGAACACTCCGATCACCGTTACGTACCCTTGCACCCATTTCCAACATTCCAACACTCCTCCTCGGTCGTGACTTGCCCTCAAACCAGTTCCATTTCTTGAGCTTGCAAATGTCCTTGTCCCTGTGCTCCTCCATCCCTGAGCTCCTTGATCGCCCTTGATCGTCCTTGACCTTTTCATAACCAATGCGCACGAGTGCGCGCAGTGTCGAGAGCTTCGTCGCGTCCAACGCCTTCGTGAGGAGGTCTGCGAGCATCTGCTCCGATCTGACGTAGCTCGCCGTGATGATGCCGCGACGCGAGTAGTCGCAAAGGAACTTAAGGCGCACATCCACATGTTTTGCCTTCAGCGACGATGCCTCTCCCGCGATCTGCGCGATCAACGCTTGGTTGTCCACCCGCTACTGCATCGGAAGCGTGGGCTCCACGCCCACTTCGCACAACATCTCGCGCAGGCCGAGCAGCTCGCGCGCGACTTCACTCGCCGCGACAAATTCCGCCTCCATCGTCGACAGGGAGACGCCTCCCTGCTTCTGCGCACCCCAGCTGACGGCCATCCCGTTCAGCATCACGATGCCGCCCGTCATCGACTTCCGGTCCGTCTTGTCGGCGGCAAAGTCGGCGTCGCTAAACGCTTCTAGTCGCATCGCCGCACCTAAATTGTCTTCTGGGATCATCGTGATCTTAAGCGCCGCCGTACCCTTGAGGTATCGCGCGATGCGTTTAGCCAACTTCCAGTCTGCTAGTCGAGGCGCATGGGCTCGTCTCGTGACCTTGTGCACCGCAAACGCTATGTCAGGGCGCGTGCAGCGCGCCACCCAGAGCAGCGAGCCGACCAGCGACTGAAACTGGCGCACAGTCGGTCCTAATTTCGCGCTTGGCGTCCCAAGAAGCTCCGCGTCGCCCTCCTCCAACTCGTAGCAGCTGTCGTCGATCGGCGTCCACGTCGAGTTGGCTTCAACGAGTCCGTTGTCGCGCAAGAGGTCTCTTATGGCCTCCTCCTGATCGAGCGTGTACCTATTCTAAACGTTGTGCGTCACGCGCATTCCCAGGAGCTTGCTGACACGCCCCAGGTCCTTGATCGACAGCGACGCGAGGCTTGCAAAAAAACGCTCGACCGCCGCCGCGCTCGTCCCTGTCGCTAGAAGATCGTCGACATACACGCTGACCACGACAAGGTCGTCGCCGTCGCGCTTCCAGTAAAAACACATGTCGCTCTCAAACCGCGTGAAACCGGCAGTAGAGAGCTTCGAGTGCAGCAGCTGGCTCCACAGCCGGCCTGCCTGCTTGAGCCCGTAAAGGCTCTTCCGCAGCTCCAGCACCAGCTCGCTCGTGTTCGAAACGCCTTGTGCTCGTAGCGTCTCCTTCGAGACTGGCATGCCGCGCGGCATCTGTAGATAGATGCGCAGGTGCGGCTCCTTGTCCGCTTTAACGTAGGAGTTGGGGATGTCACCGTGCTTGGCAGGCACCCACCACGTAGCCGCAAGCGCCAGGATCACTTTGAGCGTCGATAGATCCATCACGGCAGCGAAGGTGAGCGTGTAGTCGACGCCAAGCACCTGTTCGTTGCCACACGCCACCAGTCGCGCTTTCAGCCGCTCGAGGTCGCCCTGTGCATCTGTCTTGGTCTTTTAGACCCATTTTGTGTGCAGCGCATGCTGTCCTGCCGTTCGCCTTGTGATAGTCCAGACGTCGTTGGCCTCGAGCGCGGCGATCTCCTCTTGCATCGCCTTCTTCCACCCTTCGCGCTTGCCGCTGCGCATCGCCTGTCCGTAGTTAAGCGGATCATGCTCGAAAGCAGCATTTACGACTTCTCCGCTCGCGGCTGTCTCCTCCTGACGAGCAGCCGCTTCTGCTCGTTTCAACGCCCCGCGTGTTCCATGCGCCTTTCGCGTCCATCTCTTTCTGCTTTTACGCGTCTCCCTGTTGCCCTCTGCGCGACCATCGTTCGCCACTGCTGCTGCTGGCGCGTCCGTTTCCTCCTGGCCTCCGGCTCGATCGCCGACGTCCATCGCGCGCTGGAGTTGCGCCTTTTGCGCCTCCGTCAGTTTCTCGATATTCTTGATGTGCTGCGTGACGACCACTTTATTGTCACGCGGCAGCAGCACCTTGTAGCCCTTCGTTTCTTCGCTGACGCCGACAATGATGGCGCGCCCCGAGCGCTGCAGCAGCGAGTTCTTGCGCGGGTCTCTATACACGCTGCACTGGGATCCAAAAATGACAAATCCACGCAGATCCGGCGTCTTGCCCGTCAGCACCTCGAGTGGTGACGCTCTCTTTGCGTTTGCTCGCGTAGGGCTCCGGTTGAGGATGTGTACGGCGTATAGTATAGCGTCTCCCCAGAACATCAGGGGCAGCGCGCAGGCAAACATCATGCTGCGCGCAAGGTTCAGCACTGTCCGGTGCATTCGTTCGCCTTGCCGTTTGAGGCCTGATTTCGCGCCTCCGACACTTGGCGCGCGACGCCCGTGCGCTCGCAGAACAGGTCCACGTTGGCGTATTCTCTGCCGCCGTCCGTGCGGAGCACGTGGACCTTGAACCCGAAAAGCTTCTCGAAGTGGACGAGGAACGCCTCGAACTGCCTCGCCGCAGCGTCCTTCGTGCGCGCGAGGAAGACTCGGCAGTAGTTGCTCTTGTGATCAACGAAGTTCACAAGGTAACGATTGCCGAGTCGGTCCCGCGGCGTCATTGGACCCTTCAGGTCCGAACAGATGACGCCGCCGATGCGATCGATGGGCGAGTGCTTGCCGCTGTCTTGTTGGGACTGCGCGTTGCGCGTCTGCTTGCCCTCGAGGCACGACACGCACGCCATACGCTTGTTGTTGCTGAGCCGAATGCCCGATGCCGGATCGCGCGCCATGCGTTCGATCGTGTCGAACGCAAGGTGGCCGAGCCTCTGGTGCCAGTGCAACAGCGAGGCTTCGTGCGGCTCATCGGCGTTGGTTTCCGTTGCATGCGCTTCGAGCGCCGCCATGATAGCGTCTCCGCCTGCACCTTCCTTGTCGCGCGTGGCCTTCGTCACGACATACAGCACGTTGCTGTCGATTGTGACATCGAACGCGACCGCACCATCTCTGCACCGAGCGAGCGAGCGCCTTTCGCCGGAGTGCACTAGGGCAAATCCTTTGTTGGCGAGCTTGCCGTACGACACAATGTTCTTTGCCAGTCGTGGCGCCAAGTACACATCCGTGAGCGTCACTACCGCTTCAGCGCCGCGCGCAAAAACCGCGAGGCGCACGCTGCCGACACGCATCAGGTGAAGCGACTCGCCGTCTGCCATTGCAATCTCGTGGCTGCAAGCCGTCGACTTGAGCAGCAGCGACTCGTCGTTGACAAGATGCCGGCTCGCGCCGCTATCGAGGATCCAGTCTCCTCGGTCGACGCCCGTGGCATCGGTCGCCGCAAGTACGAGGCCGCTCGTGCCGTCCGTGGCTCTTACTCCGTCGTAAGCACGAAGCCGCATGAGTCGTCTATGGTTCGCGCCCCATCACTTACATTGGTCGCTGCGGCGTCCTTGCCGCGCGAGCCCTTCTTCCTCCTGTTGCGCTTCTTCGTGGTCGCTCTGCGCTTCTCGGTCAGTGCAAGGATCATGCTGGCGCCTCCACCCTCCGCGGGTGTCTCGTCTTCGTGCACGACTCGCGCGCGACAGTTGGCTGCGATGTGGCCTGGTCGCCCACATCGGTAGCACGTGAGTGCGCCCTTGGGTTTGCCTTCCACGTGCGCGGCGACGACCTCACGACCCACCGCGCTGCTGCCGTGCTCAATGGACTGCGCGAAGTGCGCCAGCTCCTCAGCATGGCGCAGTTAGTCGAGTCGAGTGGGCTCATACTTGGAGCGCATCACGTTCACCAGCTCCGGCGAAGCGTGGTGGACGATGTTATCAAGAACAAGCGAGTCGGCACCACCGCGTGCCTCGCTGACGGCGACCATGTACAGGAAGTGCTCGGCCCAGGTGCGTCGTGCGTCCTTCTTGGCCATGAATAACTTCATCGCCTGGTTGCAGTGATTGACGTCTTGAACGTGCGCAGGAGCTGCTCCATGATGTACTCCAGTGTGGGTGATTGCGTCCACCAGGTATCGACCTGCTTGTGATAGTACCTCTCAGCCGTGCCGGCGAGAAAGTGCCCAAGCAGGTCGACCTTGACGTCTTCAGTCCATCCGAAACCACACGACGCTTCCGCGAGGCTCACCGCGCGCAGAAACGTGCGCCCCCAGTCAAAGAATCCGCTCCCGAGTCCGCGGTACAGCTCCGTACCATCGAACTTGCGTATGTTCAACTTCTGCTGGCTAGCGGACGGCATCCCGTAGCCGTTGAGGCCCGGTCGCATATAGGCTTGTGGCGGAGCGAATTGTTGCGGCGGAGGTAGCGCTGCATGCTCCTGCGGGGGTGGCGCAGACGCTGGTGCGCGCTGCTGCAGCTGCGGTGCTGCGCGCGCGCGAGGTGGCTCGAGCGATGCGAATCGCGACGCGCCAAGATCAGTCGCGCACTGGTACCCACGTGGCACCGGTGCCTTCTCCTCCGCGTCTCCGATCGTGTCTATCGTCATCGGTCGGCCACGCATGTTGGCGCCGAGTTTCGAGGCGAACAGTCCGCTCTCCACGACCCCGAGCATGCACTCCTCCTCGTCTCGCACTCTCTGCGACGACTCGAGGCTCGCCAGTCGATCGGTGAGTGCGGCGAGCGCGGCGAGGATCTTATCGTCTCGCTTCCCGCTCTCACGAGCGGGTCCATCGTTGACGACTGCGGGTGCGGTAGGCGCACGCGCTGGCGAGCCGCGCCCAGGCGTGGCTCGCGGGACACCCCCTGGTGTCTTCGTAGTCGGTTCGGTGGTTGCGGCCATTGGGCTCATAACCTGTAGGCAAGATGCGTGTTGCGAGAAGGAAGCGTTAGGTGAACAATAAGATTCTGTTGTATTTTCTTACTAGTTCTCTCTTCTCTGCCATGATCGCCAAAGCCCTCTGCTCCATTCATCCATCTCACACGCATTCTGGCTCTACTCGGGTCACTATCCTGCTTGTCACTCTGCGTCCACCATTTACGCACAGCGAGTTTGTGACATCAGGTTTCCAAATAAACCCCGAGTCACCGGCCGAACACTCCGATCACCGTTACGTACCCTTGCACCCATTTCCAACATTCCAACACTTATCCGACGCCTTCGCGCGTCGTTCAACTCTGGACAGGGTCGAGACGGTGGCTACCGCAGCGAAGAGCACTAAAAAGGCTTATTTCGAGGCGGCAACGACATGAGGTTAGACTGTAACGGGATGAATCGTTACATAACAATTTATAAGAAAGTGTTAATAGACTATAACTACAAGAGTTATTTTCTCAGAATATTGTCATAAGGACAAATATTCTGGAGCACTTACGAGCAGTTCCTAATTGGTTGATATAGGCCATTATATCAACCAACGAAGACGCGCCACGACAGACGCACGCAATGAGTGGTGAGCAGATAGTTGATATACACATTTATATTTAGACGTAGTTAGATGAAGATACATAGTGATTATTTAACAGACATTAACTATACTAAATACAGTTCTACTTTTTACTTTAACCAAGTACTCGCTTCTTCTTACCGTCTTCCTCTGCACGTACGAGTGTACGTGAAGTTCCGAGGCACCGCCTTTTTCTGCCATCAGAATAAGCAGCTTGTACTGTCACCTGTATAAGCTTCAGGGTGCCTCGTTACACCTGGTAGCACTTCGTAGTCCGTCCAAGGACCACGTTCACATTTAACATGAATATGTTAGATGATGAAGATGACCACAGCTTTCACGCTACGCGTGACGGCTACTCCCATTTGAGCGATGTCGAATGGGATGCGGTTGAACGAATGGGTTCAACCATGGGCATCCATGCTGTTAGCGTCATGCTAGAGGCTCTCAATAGAGATGCTCAACATGCTACTATCGCCAAGTTCATTCAAAATGAACTTGACGCAGAACGCGAGAAAGTAGCCTTGCTTCACCAACAAGGTTCTCAACAAGCAGAGTTGTTGAGAGAACAGGGTGCTCAACAGTTTGAACTGTTGAGACAGCAGCAGGCTGCTGCTGGTGGGTCGATGCACTCGCGTCGACCCGAGACTTTGAAGATTGACATCTCTAAGTATAGGGGGGTCGAAGAAGACTACCTCTTGAGATGGTTTGTCGAATTAGACGACGCCATAAGGGCGAGTCGCATCGACGATGGGGATATGCAAGTTGCATTTGCCCAGTCAAATCTGGCAGGACGTGCCAAGACTTGGGCATTGGGGCTCAAGTTTTACGACCCATATGCGTTTGGGTCGTTGGAAGTCTTCAAGTCGCGGCTCAGACAAACGTTTGAACCGCCTAGAGCTGAGTTCAGAGCTCGAACCGAACTCTTGAAGCTCAAGTAGGGTAAGCGTGATGTGCACGCTTACGCACAACATATACGACATCTCACGAGTTGTGTAAGTTCCAATCCGGTGGATGAACACACGTTGGTTTCGGTGTTCATGCAGGGTCTTGCGGATGGTCCCGTCAAGACTCACCTGTTCCGGCTTGAACTAGATTCAGTAGAACAAGCCATTTCCATTGCGGAGCAGGAAGACTTCAGTCTGAGACAGGCTCGCGCCAGCTCGACATCATATCGTCAACCGAGACGATATGACAACGGAGGTCCAGAACCGATGGAACTCTGTTATGTTGAGAGCGAGAAGGCTCGCTCTACAGGCTACAAGAAGTTGCAGAGATGCAACAGATGTCAAAAGAAAGGACTCTACGCTTACGAGTGTAGTGCCCCTCGTCCAGTGTCTCGCGACACTGGGCGTAGTGACCGTCCACCCATGAGAAAGGGGAAGGGACGCGGGTCCGCTGTTGGTGCAAAGACGCAACAATGGGATGGACCGTCAAAAAACGGACAGGATCAGTAGGTGCGGAGCACCCTACTGGTCCAGCAACGTCAAGAGAATTTGTAGGCCTCTTGATAAAGGTTGCTCCCAACACACAAACGTTGTGCGTTGCTGCTCTAGGTAATGAGATCTCACTCATTACCTTGAAACTCGAAGTGACGAATAATTTGTCCCTTCGAGCTCTAGTCGATTGTGGGGCGTCCAACAATTTTGTGCAACGTCAATCGCTAGAAGATGGTCACTTTAAGCTCAGTGAATGTGACACACCTCCTACGAGGATGACGGTACGTCTTGCGACAGGCGCATCCGTAACCGTCATGAAGCGTATAGTGAAGATCCACTATACGCTAGAAGATACCCAATGTGACGATGGCTTTATCGTATTGGATTTGGATGACAAATTTGATGTCATCCTTGGAATACCGTGGCTCAGAAGGTACGAACAACGGGTAAACTGGCAACATCGAACAGTAACGATGCCTGCCGCTTGTTCATCAGATGGCCATCTAATGAACGTGTTGGAGCGTCCACAAGCGTGTGGATGTACTACGAGTGAGTGCGATGGCCTCACTTGTGGTACGGTCGTTAGTACGACTGCACAAAACCTTAGTGTAACAAACAGTTACACTTCGGAGCAAGATTCCGGCGGCTGTGAGGAAACACAGGCTACGCCGAAGGTCCACCACTCGAATAAGTCGAGTGGACCGGGACAAAGATGTATCCCTAGCGGGGAACATCTAGAAGAGAAACAATCGATCGCTCAGGTTAAGCGAAACGATAATCCTAGATCGACTGGAGAGTCTTTCGTAGAGGATATCGCTGTGGTTGCGCAACCCCAGCTAGAGGAAGTAAAGGGAATAAGTCCCGATATTACAAATACGGCGGAATAAGTTCCCCGAAACCCGCGGGAATAAGTCCCCGGGAAGCCGAAGGAATAAGTCCTTCGAGGCCTGAGGGAATAATTCCCCAGGAAATGACAGAGACATTGAATGTCATAGTCAATAACGGATCAAGCGTAGGCGCTTATACACTTGATCTGATTGCGCCTCCGAAGTTGACTTCGGAGATCACTCAGTTGCCAACGCTCGAACATAAAAGGTTCTTGCGTGATCTGAGTAGTGGCAAAGTCAAACAGATCTGCGTACTCTTCGCTGACGACGAGTGTGTAGCCGACATAAGGTCAGCAACATTGTTTACTGATAACGAGAGAGTTCTCAGTAGTTCATCTATGGACGAGAGTGTCCTAGATCAAAAGACACGAATTGAGCGATATGACTCCCAATCGTGGGAATCGCTCAAGAAAAATCCTCTCTATGAAGATTTGGTTGAATTCAAGGATGTATTCCCTGAAACTGTTCCGTGCGAATTACCGAAGGATAAAGGTACTCGACACGAGGTCGAGCTTAAACCAGGCTCGAAGTACTGTGTCATGAAGCAGTGGCTACTGCCTCGTGAACAAGCACTTGCGATCGACAAGTTTTTTGCCGATCGTTTAGCTGCGGGCCATGTGAGGGAATCAACTTCCCCACATAGCTCTCCGATCTTCTGTGTGCGAAAAGCAACAGGAGGGTGGCGGATAGTGCATGCAATTAACAAGTTGAATGCTGCAACGTACCGGCTCAGACGCCGATACCGAGGAAGGACGTAATCATTGATGGTATGTCAAAGAGTACCATCTTTTCGTCCATGGATTTGATGGATGGCTTCTATCAAATCCTTATGCGAGAACGGGATATACCCTATACCGCAGTTAGCACGCCTAGCGGCATGCTCTGGGAATGGCTAGTAATGCCACAAGGGCTTAGTAATGCCCCTGCCACGTTCAACAGATGTGTATCACATCTGTTGAGACCAGTACGAGAATTCGCGCCGAGTTATTTCGATGACGTATTCATCCATAGTCGGGCTATGGATGGAAAGTCGGACGTTGAGGTTCACAGGTACCACGTCCGACAGGTTCTTACAATCATGCGAAAGCATCAATTGTATGCAAACCTCAAGAAGTGTATATTTGCAGCAAGCGAAATACCACTTCTTGGGTGCATCTTTGGTAAGAACGGTGTACGTCCTGATCCCGAAAAGATCAAGGCGATCACCGACTGGCCTGTGCCGGTTGATGTCAAAGGTCTTCGAAAATTTCTTGGGCTAGCGGCGTATTTGCATAAGTATTCACGCAATTACGCCGAGATGACTGTGCACCTCTCTCGTTTGTTGAAAAAGAACGAGAGGTGGTTATGGAACGCTGAATGTCAGCGCTCCTTTGAGGGTATCAAGCAGAGCTTGATACAATCCCCAGTCCTAGCAATAGCCGATCAGGACAGGCCATTTCATGTGGTCTGTGATGCCAGCGATTTTGCAATCGGCTGTGCATTAATGCAGTACGATCTTGAAGGCGTTGAACGCGTCGTCTGCTATCAGTCGCGTCAGCTGCAACCAGCTGAGCGGAACTATCCAGTGCATGACAAGGAACTCCTTGCCATGAAGTATGCACTCGCGAAGTTCAGAGTCTATCTCTTAGGGAGATAGACCCTTCATTGTTTACACTGACCGTGCGTCATTACGCACGGCAGTGAACAGCCCGCACCTTTCACAACGAATGGCGCGGTGGTTGTCATTCTTTGCAGAATACAACTTTACGGTCGAGTACAAACCAGGACGATTAAATGTCGTCGCTGATGCACTCTCACGTCGTCCCGACTTTGAACCAGTCGTGAGACCCAACAGTGGGACAGCCACTGTTGCGGTTATGATGTCTACAATGCCATCTTCAACGTTGCATGATGATGTGAGGCGGGCGTATGCCCAAGATGGTGAGATTGTGAAGTTGTTGACACATCTCTCACAACCATCCCAAGAATCGTTGAAACGATTGTCGCCTGCGTATCGATCTGCGTCAGATCGATACACTACTCGCAACGGTTTACTGTATTATACAGCCGTTTCTGGTGACACACCAAGTGTTGTCATTCCAGATGATACTGATCTGCGTTTGCGGATCATGTTCGAGTGTCACGATGCTACCTATAGGAGGAAATAGTGGCCGAGAGAAAACGTATCTCACGGTGAGTCGACACTTTTACTGGTCCCGCCAGTATCAGTTTGTGCGAAAGTACGTTCGCGCCTGCGAAGTCTGTCAACGAGTGAAGTCAAGTCCTTCACTGCGTGCACCTTTACAGCCTCTACCAGTTCCGGCTGAGTGCTGGGAATCCATCTCAATGGATTTCGTCTTCGGGTTACCCAAAGACGCACGCGGGAATACGGATATTCTCGTATTTGTTGACAGATTCAGCAAAATGGTACACCTAGTGGCTGTACCAGAGTCAATCACGGCAAGTGGCTGTGCTTGTGTCTTTATTGACACCATCTTCCGACTTCATGGGTTGCCCCGTGAACTCGTATCAGTCAGAGATCCACGATTCACTGCTGAAATCTGGCGTTCCGTGTTCAAATCACTCGGAACGCACTTGAAGATGTCTACATCTGATCATCCAGAGTCAGATGGTCAGACGGAGCGAGCCAATCGTGTCCTCGAAGAGATACTTCGAGGATACGTACACTCCTTTAAGAGTTGGAGTGAGTTCTTGCCAATGGTAGAGTTTGCCATTAACAACTCGGTGCATGCGTCCACGACCCATACACCGTTTTACGTGAATGGCTTACACCATCCGCGTGTACCCACCTTACTCGAGTGTAACTCTGGTTCAAAGGGGGGAGGGACTCGCGCGAGCAAAAACGATTTGGTTCACGCTCATCACGCTCTGACGAAGAGGTCATTGCGTTTGATGCCGACATCTATAACATCGATATCGAAGAAGATGATGCCAGTGAGAGTGCGGAAGCCCTCACTGAAGAAAAGGTTGATTTTGCTGCAGTGCACTCACAGCGCACTGAAGCTAACGAGTCAGCAGATGAATCCATACTGGCTCGTGAAACGGTAGTCCGTTTTGTGCAAGACTCCATCGCCGAAGCGGTGGATAAGTAAAAGCAAAACGCTGACAAGAATGGAAGGGAAAACACTCTTTTATTCGATAAGGGTGACTTAGTCCTACTGTCTACGGTTAATCTACCAAAGCATGTAGTGACTAACTTGGGTAGTAGTAAACTACTACCCAAGTACATCGGCCCATTTCGTGTATTGCATCGCCTAGGCAATGCATACACGATCGAGTTACCACGTAAGATGCGAACGCATCCCACGTTTTACGTTGGTCGGCTTAAGCCGTACCATCAGTACGCTGCTTCTTCCGATGAAGAACGCCCTTGCGCTCAAGCATCTCGCAGAGAGCCTTGTGCTCCCGATGATGGGCATCGACAAGGGTCTGAAGAGCATTTATCTCATCCCGAGACCGATCAACAATCCCACGAGCTACCCTTAGCTCATCACGAAGAGATGTCAGAGCTCTCTACTTCTCAAGCTGAGCAAAGGCAAACTTAGCTCGATGCTTCAAGACAGTGTCCGCCATTTGGAGACGCCTGTCCCGCTCATGTTCGAGATCGCCGCGTAACCCTTGCGTTACGCGGTCAAGGAAGCTCTCGTGAACACACGCTTCCCCACGATCGTGTGGAGAGCGTCTTTCCTCCTCCTCCACCTTCATTAGAGGACTCTCGCGGTGGCCAGCGCTATCTAGTTGAGCAGCTGTTGAACCACCGCGACGTGAACGGACGTCGGATGAGTTATCTCGTCCGGTGGCGCGGCTATCCCCGTCCTGGGATACTTGGGAGACCCGCTCCCAACTGATGGTTGACGTACTGGATCTGGTCGAGCAGTACGACGCGGCACATCCTGTGCCGCAGAAGGACCGCCGGAGAAAGTCTTCCCGGCACGGTCGTAAAGGGATTTCAGATTGTCAATCCCTTCGTACATCTCAATAGAGATACGTACGCGCCACCACGGGCTATTAGGGAGGTAAGCCTCCTTAGGTGCTCGTGCAGAGTTGTTCACACAACATGGGCACGAGTCTCCCCAAGAGAGGCAGGGTAATCCTTTCTCCCTTGACAGACGATGCAGCTTGTAGCGTGCAACCGTCGGGGTTCGCTTTTCAAACTTATCACGAGCTTTGACAAGTTTGTCGTTTCAAGCGTCACGACCTATATCCTCAAGGTTATGGATGTAGGCGTTCCACGCTTGAAGTAGTGAGGTACCATCACGCTTGTGATTCCCACTGTACTATCAATGTCTAAAGAAAGCATCGATGAAGAATTCATTCTCAGCGCGATAGTTTTTCGCGCTGGGGTCAAGGTGATGTATCCTTGACGAATCGAACAAACGTGTTCGATAACGATCACTCGTCGTCGCCGAAAAGTGATCCATGACAGATTTAGGAGGCATCCATGCCTTCTTCTCAGGAGCGAGACGCAAGACACTGCGGTCCCGCTGTTCCTGCGATGTGCCGACAGAAGGACTGGCACCTCGCTGCGAAGTGGTGTCAATAGGAGAACCGACACCACTGTTAGCGCCCGAGTCTCGCGATCTCGAGCGCCTTCGCTTCGGCGATGGTTCATCTGATTCATGAGATGAACCAAAGATGCTACAACGCATAGCATCATCCATGCCACGCTTGGCAGGCGGCTTGGATTCGATCGCCGTCGATACGGATCCGTCTTCCGTATCAGGAGAGTATGAGACTCCGAGCTCATACTCTGTGAAGACATGAGTGTCTTCATGACCAGCGCCTGCATCACCATGTGACACAGGCTGGGTCGCTTTAGCAACCGATGAGACATCAGTTGCTGCGGTTTCTGCTTTGGCGACGCACAGAGACGTGCGGACGCGCTCTCGGCGGCCTTGTTCGCGCATCGCATGGGCTTGTTAACCATGCGATGAACTGTTGGGAAGTGGACTCGGACCAACAATTGCAAACCCTGTCTCAACTGATTTGGGACGAGTATCCATTTAGTCAATCAGTCACTAAAGTGACTGATGGTTAAGGGGGGGGTGATGTAACGGGGTGAATCGTTACATAACAATTTATAAGAAATTGTTAATAGAATGTAGCAATGAGAGTTATGTTCACAGAATATTGTCATAAGGACAAATATTCTGTAGCACTTACGAGCAGTTCCTAACTGGTTGATATAGGCCATTATATCAACCAACGAAGACGCGCCACGACAGACGCACGCAATGAGTGGTGAGCAGATAGTTGATATACACATTTGTATTTAGACATAGTTAGATGAAGATACATAGTGATTATTTAACAGACATTAACTATACTAAATACAGTTCTACTTTTTACTTTAACCAAGTACTCGCTTCTTCTTACCGTCTTCCTCTGCACGTACGAGTGTACGTGAAGTTCCGAGGCACCGCCTTTTTCTGCCATCAGAATAAGCAGCTTGTACTGTCACCTGTATAAGCTTCAGGGTGCCTCGTTACACCTGGTAGCACTTCGTAGTCCGTCCAAGGACCACGTTCACATTTAACATGAATATGTTAGATGATGAAGATGACCACAGCTTTCACGCTACGCGTGACGGCTACTCCCATTTGAGCGATGTCGAATGGGATGCGGTTGAACGAATGGGTTCAACCATGGGCATCCATGCTGTTAGCGTCATGCTAGAGGCTCTCAATAGAGATGCTCAACATGCTACTATCGCCAAGTTCATTCAAAATGAACTTGACGCAGAGCGCGAGAAAGTAGCCTTGCTTCACCAACAAGGTTCTCAACAAGCAGAGTTGTTGAGAGAACAGGGTGCTCAACAGTTTGAACTGTTGAGACAGCAGCAGGCTGCTGCTGGTGGGTCGATGCACTCGCGTCGACCCGAGACTTTGAAGATTGACATCTCTAAGTATAGGGGGTCGAAGAAGACTACCTCTTGAGATGGTTTGTCGAATTAGACGACGCCATAAGGGCGAGTCGCATCGACGATGGGGATATGCAAGTTGCATTTGCCCAGTCAAATCTGGCAGGACGTGCCAAGACTTGGGCATTGGGGCTCAAGTTTTACGACCCATATGCGTTTGGGTCGTTGGAAGTCTTCAAGTCGCGGCTCAGACAAACGTTTGAACCGCCTAGAGCTGAGTTCAGAGCTCGAACCGAACTCTTGAAGCTCAAGCAGGGTAAGCGTGATGTGCACGCTTACGCACAACATATACGACATCTCACGAGTTGTATAAGTTCCAATCCGGTGGATGGACACACGTTGGTTTCGGTGTTCATGCAGGGTCTTGCGGATGGTCCCGTCAAGACTCACCTGTTCCGGCTTGAACTAGATTCAGTAGAACAAGCCATTTCCATTGCGGAGCAGGAAGACTTCAGTCTGAGACAGGCTCGCGCCAGCTCGACATCATATCGTCAACCGAGACGATATGACAACGGAGGTCCAGAACCGATGGAACTCTGTTATGTTGAGAGCGAGAAGGCTCGCTCTACAGGCTACAAGAAGTTGCAGAGATGCAACAGATGTCAAAAGACAGGACTCTACGCTTACGAGTGTAGTGCCCCTCGTCCAGTGTCTCGCGACACTGGGCGTAGTGACCGTCCACCCATGAGAAAGGGGAAGGGACGCGGGTCCGCTGTTGGTGCAAAGACGCAACAATGGGATGGACCGTCAAAAAACGGACAGGATCAGTAGGTGCGGAGCACCCTACTGGTCCAGCAACGTCAAGAGAATTTGTAGGCCTCTTGATAAAGGTTGCTCCCAACACACAAACGTTGTGCGTTGCTGCTCTAGGTAATGAGATCTCACTCATTACCTTGAAACTCGAAGTGACGAATAATTTGTCCCTTCGAGCTCTAGTCGATTGTGGGGCGTCCAACAATTTTGTGCAACGTCAATCGCTAGAAGATGGTCACTTTAAGCTCAGTGAATGTGACACACCTCCTACGAGGATGACGGTACGTCTTGCGACAGGCGCATCCGTAACCGTCATGAAGCGTATAGTGAAGATCCACTATACGCTAGAAGATACCCAATGTGACGATGGCTTTATCGTATTGGATTTGGATGACAAATTTGATGTCATCCTTGGAATACCGTGGCTCAGAAGGTACGAACAACGGGTAAACTGGCAACATCGAACAGTAACGATGCCTGCCGCTTGTTCATCAGATGGCCATCTAATGAACGTGTTGGAGCGTCCACAAGCGTGTGGATGTACTACGAGTGAGTGCGATGGCCTCACTTGTGGTACGGTCGTTAGTACGACTGCACAAAACCTTAGTGTAACAAACAGTTACACTTCGGAGCAAGATTCCGGCGGCTGTGAGGAAACACAGGCTACGCCGAAGGTCCACCACTCGAATAAGTCGAGTGGACCGGGACAAAGATGTATCCCTAGCGGGGAACATCTAGAAGAGAAACAATCGATCGCTCAGGTTAAGCGAAACGATAATCCTAGATCGACTGGAGAGTCTTTCGTAGAGGATCTCGCTGCGGTTGCGCAACCCCAGCTAGAGGAAGTTAAGGGAATAAGTCCCGATATTACAAATACGGTGGAAATAAGTTCCCCGAAACCCGCGGGAATAAGTCCCCGGGAAGCCGAAGGAATAAGTCCTTCGAGGCCTGAGGAATAATTCCCCAGGAAATGACAGAGACATTGAATGTCATAGTCAATAACGGATCAAGCGTAGGCGCTTATACACTTGATCTGATTGCGCCTCCGAAGTTGACTTCGGAGATCACTCAGTTGCCAACGCTCGAACATAAAAGGTTCTTGCGTGATCTGAGTAGTGGCAAAGTCAAACAGATCTGCGTACTCTTCGCTGACGACGAGTGTGTAGCCGACATAAGGTCAGCAACATTGTTTACTGATAACGAGAGAGTTCTCAGTAGTTCATCTATGGACGAGAGTGTCCTAGATCAAAAGACACGAATTGAGCGATATGACTCCCAATCGTGGGAATCGCTCAAGAAAAATCCTCTCTATGAAGATTTGGTTGAATTCAAGGATGTATTCCCTGAAACTGTTCCGTGCGAATTACCGAAGGATAAAGGTACTCGACACGAGGTCGAGCTTAAACCAGACTCGAAGTACTGTGTCATGAAGCAGTGACCACTGCCTCGTGAACAAGTACTTGCGATCGACAAGTTCTTTGCCGATGGTTTAGCTGCGGGCCATGTGAGGGAATCAACTTCCCCACATAGCTCTCCGATCTTCTGTGTGCGAAAAGCAACAGGAGGGTGGCGGATAGTGCATGCAATTAACAAGTTGAATGCTGCAACGGTACCGGCTCAGACGCCGATACCGAGGAAGGACGTAATCATTGATGGTATGTCAAAGAGTACCATCTTTTCGTCCATGGATTTGATGGATGGCTTCTATCAAATCCTTATGCGAGAACGGGATATACCCTATACCGCAGTTAGCACGCCTAGCGGCATGCTCTGGGAATGGCTAGTAATGCCACAAGGGCTTAGTAATGCCCCTGCCACGTTCAACAGATGTGTATCACATCTGTTGAGACCAGTACGAGAATTCGCGCCGAGTTATTTCGATGACGTATTCATCCATAGTCGGGCTATGGATGGAAAGTCGGACGTTGAGGTTCACAGGTACCACGTCCGACAGGTTCTTACAATCATGCGAAAGCATCAATTGTATGCAAACCTCAAGAAGTGTATATTTGCAGCAAGCGAAATACCACTTCTTGGGTGCATCTTTGGTAAGAACGGTGTACGTCCTGATCCCGAAAAGATCAAGGCGATCACCGACTGGCCTGTGCCGGTTGATGTCAAAGGTCTTCGAAAATTTCTTGGGCTAGCGGCGTATTTGCATAAGTATTCACGCAATTACGCCGAGATGACTGTGCACCTCTCTCGTTTGTTGAAAAAGAACGAGAGGTGGTTATGGAACGCTGAATGTCAGCGCTCCTTTGAGGGTATCAAGCAGAGCTTGATACAATCCCCAGTCCTAGCAATAGCCGATCAGGACAGGCCATTTCATGTGGTCTGTGATGCCAGCGATTTTGCAATCGGCTGTGCATTAATGCAGTACGATCTTGAAGGCGTTGAACGCGTCGTCTGCTATCAGTCGCGTCAGCTGCAACCAGCTGAGCGGAACTATCCAGTGCATGACAAGGAACTCCTTGCCATGAAGTATGCACTCGCGAAGTTCAGAGTCTATCTCTTAGGAGATAGACCCTTCATTGTTTACACTGACCGTGCGTCATTACGCACGGCAGTGAACAGCCCGCACCTTTCACAACGAATGGCGCGGTGGTTGTCATTCTTTGCAGAATACAACTTTACGGTCGAGTACAAACCAGGACGATTAAATGTCGTCGCTGATGCACTCTCACGTCGTCCCGACTTTGAACCAGTCGTGAGACCCAACAGTGGGACAGCCACTGTTGCGGTTATGATGTCTACAATGCCATCTTCAACGTTGCATGATGATGTGAGGCGGGCGTATGCCCAAGATGGTGAGATTGTGAAGTTGTTGACACATCTCTCACAACCATCCCAAGAATCGTTGAAACGATTGTCGCCTGCGTATCGATCTGCGTCAGATCGATACACTACTCGCAACGGTTTACTGTATTATACAGCCGTTTCTGGTGACACACCAAGTGTTGTCATTCCAGATGATACTGATCTGCGTTTGCGGATCATGTTCGAGTGTCACGATGCTACCTATAGGAGAAAATAGTGGCCGAGAGAAAACGTATCTCACGGTGAGTCGACACTTTTACTGGTCCCGCCAGTATCAGTTTGTGCGAAAGTACGTTCGCGCCTGCGAAGTCTGTCAACGAGTGAAGTCAAGTCCTTCACTGCGTGCACCTTTACAGCCTCTACCAGTTCCGGCTGAGTGCTGGGAATCCATCTCAATGGATTTCGTCTTCGGGTTACCCAAAGACGCACGCGGGAATACGGATATTCTCGTATTTGTTGACAGATTCAGCAAAATGGTACACCTAGTGGCTGTACCAGAGTCAATCACGGCAAGTGGCTGTGCTTGTGTCTTTATTGACACCATCTTCCGACTTCATGGGTTGCCCCGTGAACTCGTATCAGTCAGAGATCCACGATTCACTGCTGAAATCTGGCGTTCCGTGTTCAAATCACTCGGAACGCACTTGAAGATGTCTACATCTGATCATCCAGAGTCAGATGGTCAGACGGAGCGAGCCAATCGTGTCCTCGAAGAGATACTTCGAGGATACGTACACTCCTTTAAGAGTTGGAGTGAGTTCTTGCCAATGGTAGAGTTTGCCATTAACAACTCGGTGCATGCGTCCACGACCCATACACCGTTTTACGTGAATGGCTTACACCATCCGCGTGTACCCACCTTACTCGAGTGTAACTCTGGTTCAAAGGGGGGAGGGACTCGCGCGAGCAAAAAACGATTTGGTTCACGCTCATCACGCTCTGACGAAGAGGTCATTGCGTTTGATGCCGACATCTATAACATCGATATCGAAGAAGATGATGCCAGTGAGAGTGCGGAAGCCCTCACTGAAGAAAAGGTTGATTTTGCTGCAGTGCACTCACAGCGCACTGAAGCTAACGAGTCAGCAGATGAATCCATACTGGCTCGTGAAACGGTAGTCCGTTTTGTGCAAGACTCCATCGCCGAAGCGGTGGATAAGTAAAAGCAAAACGCTGACAAGAATGGAAGGGAAAACACTCTTTTATTCGATAAGGGTGACTTAGTCCTACTGTCTACGGTTAATCTACCAAAGCATGTAGTGACTAACTTGGGTAGTAGTAAACTACTACCCAAGTACATCGGCCCATTTCGTGTATTGCATCGCCTAGGCAATGCATACACGATCGAGTTGCCACGTAAGATGCGAACGCATCCCACGTTTTACGTTGGTCGGCTTAAGCCGTACCATCAGTACGCTGCTTTTTCCGATGAAGAACGCCCTTGCGCTCAAGCATCTCGCAGAGAGCCTTGTGCTCCCGATGATGGGCATCAACAAGGGTCTGAAGAGCAGCTATCTCATCCCGAGACCGATCAACAATCCCACGAGCTACCCTTAGCTCGTCACGAAGAGATGTCAGAGATCTCTCGTTCTCGAGTTGAGCAAAGGCAAACTCAGCTCGATGCTTCAAGGCAGTGTCCGCCATTTGGAGACGCCTATTCCGCTCATATTCGAGATCGTCGCGTAACCCTTGCGTTACGCGATCAAAGAAGCTCTCGGGAACACACCGATCCACATGATCGTGTGGAGAGCGTCTTTCCTCCTCCTCCACCTTCATTAGAGGACTCTCGCGGTGGCCAGCGCTATCTAGTTGAGCAGCTGTTGAACCACCGCGACGTGAACGGACGTCGGATGAGTTATCTCGTCCGGTGGCGCGGCTATCCCCCGTCCTGGGATACTTGGGAGCCCCGCTCCCAACTGATGGTTGACGTACTGGGTCTGGTCGAGCAGTACGACGCGGCGCATCCTGTGCCGCAGAAGGACCGCCGGAGAAAGTCTTCCCGGCACGGTCGTAAAGGGATTTCAGATTGTCAATCCCTTCGTACATCTCAATAGAGATACGTACGCGCCACCACGGGCTATTAGGGAGGTAAGCCTCCTTAGGTGCTCGTGCAGAGTTGTTCACACAACATGGGCACGAGTCTCCCCAAGAGAGGCAGGGTAATCCTTTCTCCCTTGACAGACGATGCAGCTTGTAGCGTGCAACCGTCGGGGTTCGCTTTTCAAACTTATCACGAGCTTTGACAAGTTTGTCGTTTCAAGCGTCACGACCTATATCCTCAAGGTTATGGATGTAGGCGTTCCACGCTTGAAGTAGTGAGGTACCATCACGCTTGTGATTCCCACTGTACTATCAATGTCTAAAGAAAGCATCGATGAAGAATTCATTCTCAGCGCGATAGTTTTTCGCGCTGGGGTCAAGGTGATGTATCCTTGACGAATCGAACAAACGTGTTCGATAACGATCACTCGTCGTCGCCGACAAGTGATCCATGACAGATTTAGGAGGCATCCATGCCTTCTTCTCAGGAGCGAGACGCAAGACACTGCGGTCCCGCTGTTCCTGCGATGTGCCGACAGAAGGACTGGCACCTCGCTGCGAAGTGGTGTCAATAGGAGAACCGACACCACTGTTAGCGCCCGAGTCTCGCGACCTCGAGCGCCTTCGCTTCGGCGATGGTTCATCTGATTCATGAGATGAACCAAAGATGCTACAACGCATAGCATCATCCATGCCACGCTTGGCAGGCGGCTTGGATTCGATCGCCGTCGATACGGATCCGTCTTCCGTATCAGGAGAGTATGAGACTCCGAGCTCATACTCTGTGAAGACATGAGTGTCTTCATGACCAGCGCCTGCATCACCATGTGACACAGGCTGGGTCGCTTTAGCAACCGATGAGACATCAGTTGCTGCGGTTTCTGCTTTGGCGACGCACAGAGACGTGCGGACGCGCTCTCGGCGGCCTTGTTCGCGCATCGCATGGGCTTGTTAACCATGCGATGAACTGTTGGGAAGTGGACTCGGACCAACAATTGCAAACCCTGTCTCAACTGATTTGGGACGAGTATCCATTTAGTCAATCAGTCACTAAAGTGACTGATGGTTAAGGGGGGGGTGATGTAACGGGATGAATCGTTACATAACAATTTATAAGAAATTGTTAATAGAATATAACTATGAGAGTAATGTTCTCAGAATATTGTCATAAGGACAAATATTCTGCAGCACTTACGAGCAGTTCCTAACTGGTTGATATAGGCCATTATATCAACCAACGAAGACGCGCCACGACAGACGCACGCAATGAGTGGTGAGCAGATAGCTTATATACACATTTGTATTTAGACATAGTCAGATGAAGATACATAGTGATTATTTAACGGACATTAACTATTGTAAATACAGTTCTACTTTTTACTTTAACCAAGTACTCGCTTCTTCTTACCGTCTTCCTCTGCACGTACGAGTGTACGTGAAGTTCCGAGGCACCGCCTTTTTCTGCCATCAGAATAAGCAGCTTGTACTTTCACCTGTATAAGCTTCAGGGTGCCTCGTTACACCTGGTAGCACTTCGTAGTCCGTCCAAGGACCACGTTCACATTTAACATGAATATGTTAGATGATGAAGATGACCACAGCTTTCACGCTACGCGTGACGGCTACTCCCATTTGAGCGATGTCGAATGGGATGCGGTTGAACGAATGGGTTCAACCATGGGCATCCATGCTGTTAGCGTCATGCTAGAGGCTCTCAATAGAGATGCCCAACATGCTACTATCGCCAAGTTCATTCAAAATGAACTTGACGCAGAGCGCGAGAAAGTAGCCTTGCTTCACCAACAAGGTTCTCAACAAGCAGAGTTGTTGAGAGAACAGGGTGCTCAAAAGTTTGAACTGTTGAGACAGCAGCAGGCTGCTGCTGGTGGGTCGATGCACTCGCGTCGACCCGAGACTTTGAAGATTGACATCTCTAAGTATAGGGGGGTCGAAGAAGACTCCCTCTTGAGATGGTTTGTCGAATTAGACGACGCCATAAGGGCGCGTCGCATCGACGATGGGGATATGCAAGTTGCATTTGCCCAGTCAAATCTGGCAGGACGTGCCAAGACTTGGGCATTGGGGCTCAAGTTTTACGACCCATATGCGTTTGGGTCGTTGGAAGTCTTCAAGTCGCGGCTCAGACAAACGTTTGAACCGCCTAGAGCTGAGTTCAGAGCTCGAACCGAACTCTTGAAGCTCAAGCAGGGTAAGCGTGATGTGCACGCTTACGCACAACATATACGACATCTCACGAGTTGTATAAGTTCCAATCCGGTGGATGAACACACGTTGGTTTCGGTGTTCATGCAGGGTCTTGCGGATGGTCCCGTCAAGACTCACCTGTTCCGGCTTGAACTAGATTCACTAGAACAAGCCATTTCCATTGCGGAGCAGGAAGACTTCAGTCTGAGACAGGCTCGCGCCAGCTCGACATCATATCGTCAACCGAGACGATATGACAACGGAGGTCCAGAACCGATGGAACTCTGTTATGTTGAGAGCGAGAAGGCTCGCTCTACAGGGTACAAGAAGTTGCAGAGATGCAGCAGATGTCAAAAGAAAGGACACTACGCTTACGAGTGTAGTGCCCCTCGTCCAGTGTCTCGCGACACTGGGCGTAGTGACCGTCCACCCATGAGAAAGGGGAAGGGACGCGGGTCCGCTGTTGGTGCAAAGACGCAACAATGGGATGGACCGTCAAAAAACGGACAGGATCAGTAGGTGCGGAGCACCCTACTGGTCCAGCAACGTCAAGAGAATTTGTAGGCCTCTTGATAAAGGTTGCTCCCAACACACAAACGTTGTGCGTTGCTGCTCTAGGTAATGAGATCTCACTCATTACCTTGAAACTCGAAGTGACGAATAATTTGTCCCTTCGAGCTCTAGTCGATTGTGGGGCGTCCAACAATTTTTTGTGACGCCAATCGCTAGAAGATGGTCACTTTAAGCTCAGTGAATGTGACACACCTCCTACGAGGATGACGGTACGTCTTGCGACAGGCGCAGCCGTAACCGTCATGAAGCGTATAGTGAAGATCCACTATACGCTAGAAGATACCCAATGTGACGATGGCTTTATCGTATTGGATTTGGATGACAAATTTGATGTCATCCTTGGAATACCGTGGCTCAGAAGGTACGAACAACGGGTAAACTGGCAACATCGAACAGTAACGATGCCTGCCGCTTGTTCATCAGATGGCCATCTAATGAACGTTTTGGAGCGTCCACAAGCGTGTGGATGTACTACGAGTGAGTGCGATGGCCTCACTTGTGGTACGGTCGTTAGTACGACTGCACAAAACCTTAGTGTAACAAACAGTTACACTTCGGAGCAAGATTCCGGCGGCTGTGAGGAAACACAGGCTACGCCGAAGGTCCACCACTCGAATAAGTCGAGTGGACCGGGACAAAGATGTATCTCTAGCGGGGAACATCTAGAAGAGAAACAATCGATCGCTCAGGTTAAGCGAAACGATAATCCTAGATCGACTGGAGAGTCTTTCGTAGAGGATCTCGCTGCGGTTGCGCAACCCCAGCTAGAGGAAGTTAAGGGAATAAGTCCCGATATTACAAATACGGTGGAAATAAGTTCCCCGAAACCCGCGGGAATAAGTCCCCGGGAAGCCGAAGGAATAAGTCCTTCGAGGACTGAGGAATAATTCCCCAGGAAATGACAGAGACATTGAATGTCATAGTCAATAACGGATCAAGCGTAGGCGCTTATACACTTGATCTGATTGCGCCTCCGAAGTTGACTTCGGAGATCACTCAGTTGCCAACGCTCGAACATAAAAGGTTCTTGCGTGATCTGAGTAGTGGCAAAGTCAAACAGATCTGCGTACTCTTCGCTGACGACGAGTGTGTAGCCGACATAAGGTCAGCAACATTGTTTACTGAGAACGAGAGAGTTCTCAGTAGTTCATCTATGGACGAGAGTGTCCTAGATGAAAAGACACGAATTGAGCGATATGACTCCCAATTGTGGGAATCGCTCAAGAAAAATCCTCTCTATGAAGATTTGGTTGAATTCAAGGATGTATTCCCTGAAACTGTTCCGTGCGAATTACCGAAGGATAAAGGTATTCGACACGAGGTCGAGCTTAAACCAGGCTCGAAG